AAAGTCTCCAGGGAAGGGGACTCCCACCTTTCTGGGCAACCTGTTCATGTGCTCTGTTACCCTCACAGCGAAGAAGTATTTCCTCGTGTTCAGGTTGCACCTCTGGATAGACCCCAGGATACAATTGGCTTTCTGGGCTGCCAGTGCATGCTACCAGCTCATGTTCAGCTTTTCATCCACCAGCACTCCCAAGTCCTTTTCCTCAGGACTGGTCTCAATCCATTCTCCACCCAGCCTGTACTTGTGCTTGGGATTGCCCTGACCCATGTGCGGGACCTTGCACTTGGCTTTGTTTGAACTTCATGAGGTTGGCAGAGGCCCACCTCTCCAGCTTGTCAGGGGCCCTCTGGATGGCATCCCTTCCCTCCAGCGTGTTGACTGGACCACAGAGCTTGGGTTATCAGCAATCTTGCTAAGGATGCACTCAATCACACTGTGTCGCTGACAAAGATGTTCATCAGTACAGGTCCTAATGCGGATCCTGGAGGAATGCTGCTTGTCACTGGTCTCCACTCAGACACTGAGCCATTGACCACAACTCTGTGAGTGTAACTACCAAGAGGTCCATCTGTCAAATCCATGCCTCTCCAATTTAAGAGACGAGAATGTCATGCGGGACAGTGTCGAACGCCTTGCACAAGTCCAGGTAGATGACATCAGTTGCTTGTCCTTTAACTACCAAGGTCATGACCTCATTGTAGAAGGCCACCATAGTCATCAGGCATGTACTGTCCTTGGTGAAGCCATGTTGGCTATCGCCAATCACCTCCTTGTTTCCCTTGTGCCTTAGCATGGTTTCCAGAAGGATCTGGTCCATGATCTTGCTGGGCACAGAGGTGAGACTGACTAGCCTGTGATTTGCTGGATCCTCCTTTTTTAAAGATGAGGGTTATGTTTCCCCTTTTCCAGTCAGTGGTAACTTTACCAGGCCATCACGACTTCTCCAATATGATGGACTGAGGTTTCATAATCTCATCCTAGTTCTGTCAGGACCCATGGATGCATTCCATCAGGTCCCGTGGATTTGTGCACCTTCAGGCTCCTTAGGTGTTCTCAGACCTGAATTTTTTTTTGCAGTTCTCCATTCTCCCAGGACCTGCCCTTGCCTACTGTGACTCAGGGCGTATGGCTTGCATCCTTGCCAGTGAAAACTGAGGCAAAAAAATTATTGAGCATCTCTGCCTTTTCTGTCTCCTGGGAAATCAGCTCTCCCATTTCCTTACACAGAGGGTCCACTTTTTCCCTGACCTTCCCTTTATCCCCTGTGTACCTATAAAAGCCCTTCTTGCTCTTGATGTCCCTGGACAGGTTTAATTCTTCCAGGGCTTTAGCTTTCCTAACCCGATCCCTGGCTAGTCGGACAATCTCCCTGTAATCCTCCCAGGCTACGTCTCCCTGCTTCCACCTTCTGTAGGCTTCCTTTTTGTCACTCAGTTTGTTCAGGAGCTGCTTGTTCATCTGCACAGGCCTCCTGGCATTTTTACCCGACTCATTCTTCATTGGGATGCATCACTCCTGAAGCTGAAGGAGAAGATCCTTGAATACTCACCAGCTTTCTTGGGCCCCTCTTCCCTCCAGGGCTTCATTCCATAGAACTCTGCCAATCAGTTCCCTGAAGAGGCTGAAGTCTGCTCTCCTGAATCCAGGGTAGTGAGCTTGCTGCACACCCTCCTTGCCTTCGTAAGGATTTTGAGCTCCACCATTTCCTGGTCACTGCAGCCCTTGAGCTTCACATTCCCCACCAGCCCTTCCCTGTTGGTGAGAACAAGGTCAAGCATGCCACTTCTGCTTATTGGTTCCTTTATCACTTGGAGAAGTAAGTTGTCATGGACACATTCCAGGAACCTCCTGACTTGCTGTGTTGTCCCTCCAACAGATACTAGGGGAGTGGAAGGTGGGGCTGCTGCTATCTGCTTGTAGAGGGTCCCATCCACTCGCTCATCCTGGCCAGATAGTCTGTAGCAAACTTCTACTACAGTATCCCCTCTCCCTGCCCTCCCTTTAATCCTGACCCATAAGTTCGCTGTCAGCTCCTCATCCATCCCCAGGTGGAGTTCCCTACCCTCCAATGGGTCTCTGACATAGAGAGCAACACCCCCTCTACACCTCCCCTGCCTGTCTTTCCTGAAGAGTCTTTGTCCTTCCATTCTGACACTCCAGTCATAGGAGCCATCCCACCATGTCTCCACAATGCCAGTATGGTCATAGCTCATCATGCATGCTGATGCCTCTAGCTCCTCTTGTTTATTCCCCATGTGTTCACATAGAGCCCATTTAAGATGAGCCCCCAGTGAAGTTGGCTTGCTGATTGCAGCAGCTGGAATTCTCTTGTTTTGCTTGTCAGGTGCTCTCCTGGTGACCTGTGATTCTTCTCCAGGCTCTGGGCATCTGTTGATGGCACTACTGGTTTTGCCCCCTTCAAACCTAGTTTAAAGCCCTCTCTGTGAACCCTGCCAATTCAAGGACAAGAAACCTTTTTCCACTTTGAGACAGCTGCATGCTATCTGTTGCCAGAAGGCCTGGTGCTGTATAAACCTCCTCATTGTTAAAAAAAAAAAAAATTCCACCATTCACACCAGCCTCTGAGCCACATGTTGATCAGACATGCTTTCCTGTTTCTTCCAGTATTCTTCCCTGATGCTAAAGGGATTGAGGAAAACACTACCTGTGCTCCTGATCCTGCAACCATTTGTCCCAGTGCCCCAAAGCCCCTTTTGATGTCTTTTGGATTCCTCTCGCCAACCTCATCACTGCCCACCTGCGTTACCAATAGCGGGTGATAATCAGAGCACTGTACCAGAAGAGGGAGTTTGCTGGTGATATCTCTAACCTGGGCTCCAGGGTGGTAGCAGACTTCCCTGTGCGATGGGTTTGGTCAGCATATTGGGCCTTCTGTTCCCCTCAGGAGGGAATCGCATACAGTCATGACCCTCATTCTTAACGAAGGCAGTCGTAATACGTGGGGCTGATGGAGTTGTCCTGGACAACCCCTTGGATGTGCCGCCTTCTGCATCCACAATTGCCTGCCCCTAGAGTTCCAGAGCCCCACATCTGTTCTGCAAGGACAACTGGGAAGGGGAGGGAGGTCAAGAGGCCTACCTCCTTGAGCAAGTGCCTGTTTCCATTCCCTTCCCTCTCTTTAAGTTCCCTCCATCTTCCCAGTGGCAAGAGAATATGGGATCCACTGCTGGCTGTGGGACCTCAATCTGTTTTTGCCTTAGGGGTGGTAGATTGGTGGAGGCAAAATATCTTTCCTCATACTTCTCAGCCTTTCCACTTCCTTCTTCAGCTCTACCACCTGCTGAGCAGATCATCCCCCTGGTCACACCTCATACAAGGCTGTCTCTGCTGCCCATGGGTATGTGTGAGAGGCTCAGGCACTCCCTGCAGCTGGAGACCTGGCCAGCAGCATCCCTGAGGGAGCACCATTTGGGTTGCCACATTCTTTCTGTCAGTGGCTTTCCTACGAGTAGCCACCGTGGCTGGGCCCTGCCTGTATCCCCTTCTGATGCGCTATGCCCTTCTGATGTGCCATGCCCTGTTCGGCCTCTGTGTTCACTGTGCTGCCTGGGGGCTGCTCTTGTGGCAGAGGGGTTTGGTCCTCCAATGTGATCCTCCCCTTTGGAGCCCTTCACCTTGGTGACTTCCAACTTGGTTTCCACCAGGACCGTAAATCCTTATCACTGGCACAAAGGGCTGTTTCTCCCTAAGTGCAGGAATTTGAACTTCTATGTGTTGAACTTCATGAGGTGTATCTGGATGGCAGCACAACACTCTGCTGTATCATCTGCTTCTTGCAGTTTTGTGTGCTATGCAAACTTACTGAGACTATACTCACCCCTATCATCCAGAGCACTAATGAAGATGTCAAACAAGATTGGAGCCAGTATTGACCCTGGGGTGCACCACTAGTTACTGGCCTCCAAGTAGACTTCATGCCACCACTCTCTGTGCTCAACCATTCAACTAGTTTTCAATCCACCTTACTGTCCTCTCATGCAGCTCATACTTCATGAGGATCTCATAGGACATGTCCACTGTTCTCCCATCAGCTACCAGGCCAGTCATTTCATCACAGAAGTTTATCAAGTTGGCCAAGCATGACTACCCCTTGGTGAATCTGTGCTGATTAGTCCTGGTGACTTTCTTGTCCTTCAAGTGACTTGAAATGGTTTCCAGGATTAGCTGCTCTATCACCTTCCTGAGGATTAAGCCTTGTTGCCAGCAAGTGACACTTGCCTTCCTCCAGTCTACAGACACTTCTCTCAGTTGCCATGATCAGTCACAGAGCAGGTGGTATTATTCTTCTGCTGTATTTCCCATACTGAAAAAGGGGCACATTTACAAATGGACAGTGATAGCCCTTCTAACAGGAAAATTCAAAAGAGTGAGGGATTTTTTGGCTGAAGTGATAAGTGCAGAAACAAGATTTTCTTTACAAGGATTTAACCTGCAAGTCATTCTCTTAATGTTGCCTTCTTGATTCCTCTGAAAAGAAATGTTTAATGACATAGATTCAGGCTTCTCATGGGTTTTGTTACAGGATGCTATGAATATTTGCTTGTATTGACAGGACATTTCCAATCAGAGGCTTTCAAATTTATGATGGACCTATTCATCTTACCAAGTGCACATTCAAAAATTTTGTGCCAACTCCGGACAGGTTTACCAGTGCAGTTGGATTCTTGATGAAAAATCCATGGCAGATGACACCAAAAAACAACATTTCTCTTGTGAAGTTTGGTCCGAATGTAAGTTTATTAGGAGTTTTGTCTAATTCTTGCAAATGGCTTTATTTTCTTGCTCTAGTTAAAATAAACATCCAAGGGCCCTAGGTCATCTTTTCCATACATTTCTATACTACTTGAGAGTTTCTGTCTTGGTTGGAAGTCACCCATGATGTATCCTTTGTCTCCAGAACAAAAATAAAGAGAATACCAAGGGAGATGTAGGATATGTTGCAATAATGATCTCTTTTATGGCTAATGGTAAAGCTGAAAAGAGATTTTTGTAATGTTTGGTATATCCTTAGTAATGACTTTTCAGTTACAAATACTAACACTGTTCAGAAGAAACAGCTGGCCTGAGCCTATTACTAAAATTCAAAATGTCTCTTTTTCAAGATTCCACTGTCCTTGCCATAAAGGTTTTCATCAACTTTGTCAAATTTCTGTGTTTCTGCAGGTGTGCAAGTGTTAACCTATGCTTTGACTGGGGGGGTGAAAAAAATTAATTATTGTTGACAGGTTTCTTTGAAAGTCTTCTTTGGAAAACCTGGTCCCTGGTTTGAAGAAGGAGATCTGGATGGTGACAAGAACTCAATATTCCATGATCTAGATGGTTCAGTGACTGACTACAAGGATACCTATGTGGGCAGAATGGATAATTACTTGATTCAACATCCCAAATGCGTTAATATTACAGAGTGGAGTGGAGTGATTTGCAGTGGGAACTATGCACAGGCTAGTACTCTTGTAGCTTTCTGTTTGGAGCAAATGTACAATATGAACAACTTTTGGAGACAAGGAGCAAGTTTTTTGGGTGGTTTCCCCCTTCCCCCCCCCCTCCCCCCCCCCCCCCCCCCCCTTTTAAATGGAGATGTTAAATGCCACATTCTGAATACAAATCTCACATAGACACAAAAATCACATGATATCCATTCTGTTTCTTACTCTATATGAGTTTGCCCAAGTACTGTAGCTGATTATATATAGGTCTTTTTTTCTCCCCATCCCTCTTTTTTTTTGACTGTAAAATGGACAAAATCTACAATAGCTTTTCAAATAAGGCTGCTCTTTGGGAGATATTTGTGTATTGTGTAACTCAAAGCATCAAATTGCAGTATTTTAGCTAATAATGTACTGATTATTCTTCACTATTTTATTTCCTTTTGCACAGTATTCAAATCTTTCCTCTTTTTCAACCTCCTTAATATCATATAGGTTTATGTTCAAACGTGGAATGGACAGAATTCTTCAATGAGTATTGTTCGAGATGAGTACCCAGCCAATCCCATGATTCTTCGAGGTATTAATCAGAGAGCTGTCTTTCAACAATACCAGCCAGTAGTGATGCTCCAAAAGAGCTACACGATACATTGGAATGGAAAAGCTCCAAATGTTACTTATCTTTATCTCATTAACTTCAACAAGTATGTTTACTTTCTTTCATGTCATTGATCCGTAATGTCCTGCATAGTTAGCATGTGTGAGAGTTTGCAGCCGTCAGTAAGACTGGTTCTTGGGTTGGTTTCTTTTCTTAATTACAAATACTAAAGTATGAAAAGCAAGAGATTAAGCAGTAGACCTGCACCTAAAGTTAAGCTTGTGTCCAGTGCAGTGTCTTTAAGGAAAACCCTGTGGAGAAAAAAATGTGTAAATAGTGAAGTTGAGCAGAATTGGAGTTGGATAGTTTAGCATATTGATTTTGTTGTCAGATAAACTTATTCTATGTCTAGATCTCTTGAGAACATCAAAGTTACTATAACATACAGTGACACACTTTGTGTAGAGATCTTCTGGTTGAGGGTTTGGGAACTTTTTGTGTTCAAAATCATACACAGTGAATCATACTTTTTTTTTTTTTCAGGAATGACTGGGTTCGTGTTGGTCTTTGTTATCAACCAAACACAGATTTTGTTATAACATTGGAAACCTTTCAAAGGCGGTCATCTGCTCATCTGTCAAGCAAGGTGGAGCGCTACATGCCTGTATCTTCAATGATGGAGCTCGAAAAGAATCGATCAGACAAGAAGTTTTATTTTGACAACAGTACTGGGTAAGTCCTTGTAACTTGACTGTATTGTAAGATGTTGTTTAACCTTAAAATGTCCATTTTGATAGTGTTAAAAACAACTGATTGAGACACCTGCATAAGAGGAAAGCTGTCATGGAGGAGCCCAAAGCCTGTTTGAAAGAATACTTTATGTGGTTTTGAATCTCCAAAATACAGTGCTTGTCACTGAAATACTTTCCCAAGAGCACCAGAGTTGCCACAGATATTTCCTACCCCATGCCTGGGAAAAAGGTGGTACCTGACATAAAAGCATAGAATGGTTTAGATTGGAAGGGACCTTAAAGACCATCTAGTTTCAACCCCCCTGCCATGGGCAGGGACACCTTCCACTAGACCAGGTTGCTCAAAGCCTCATCCAGCCTGGCCTTGAAGACATCCAGGGATCGGGCATCCAGAGCTTCCCTGGGCAACCTGTTCCAGTGCTTCACTACCCTGTCTGTGAACCTTTCCTGATATCCAGTCTAAATCTATCCTCTTTCAATTTAAATCCATTTCTCCTTATCCTATCACCACAGGCCCTTGTAAAAAGTCCCCCTCAGCTTCCTTGTAGGCCCCTTCAGGTACTGGAAGGCTGCAATAAGGTCTTCCTGGAGCCTTCTCTTCTCCAGGCTGAGCAAGCCCAACTCTCTCAGCCTTTCATCATGAGAGGTGCTCCAGCCCTCTGTATGCTGCAGAGTAGTGTTGTTCAAGAAGTAATATGTAAGTCTTCAAAGACAATTTGTGCCTCCTTGTTAAACTGAAAAATGTAGAAATTACCAATAAGTTTTATGTTCCAAGAACATTTTAAGAATGCGTTTCTGAAAATCCTAATCCTCTTTCAGCCTGCTTGAAAGTACTTAAATGTCCAAGTCTCTTTCAAAAGAACTCCTGACAGAGGTCACTGAAATCCTTCTGAGAGGTTTAAGATATGGTCAGCTTTGAGTAAAATAAGTTCTACATGTATCACTTGTGCATTTTGCAAATGTTGATCTCTAATTTATAATTTGTTCTCTTATTTATGCTACTTTGCCTGTCAGTAGTAAATACAGATGAATGTAGCATTTGAAAAGACATTTATATTTCTTTTGTCTAAGAGCTACTGTGATAACAGTGAAATATATTCTATATTTGTATATTTGAATTGTAGTATATCTGAGGTTGGAAGGGACCCATAAGGACCATTAAGTCCAACTGGACTACCTAAAACTAAACCACAAAGCCAAGTGTTGTTCAGGCACTCCTTATTCATCATTTCCATTAGAATGGTGTGTATTACAGCAACACTGGAGTTGCACTAGCACAAAACTAGCATTATTCATAGGAATATGAATTCAGAGAGAAATTGCTCTCTATATATGTAGTTTGAGATGTATGGCCTATGGAGAGATAGAGAGATATATATGCTTTATGTCCATTAAAGCAAACTGGAAATGCCCTAGAAAGTTAGAATTTTTTTTCTTTTGCACATGTATTCATGTTTCACTGATTCGTGCTAGTTAGTATTATGGACAAGTGCAAGGACTGCAGAACAGTTTCACTGTTCTAAATGTTTCAGTATCCAATTAATAGTATTTTTAACATTCTGTATACTCGCATAAGAAACTGAATTTTCTGTCTAACAAATGTTGCAAATGGGCATGCAACTAAAATTAATGAAAGATGATAGAACGTGCATTAACAGATTTCTGAAAAGTGAGCATAATACTAATTCTGTAGGCTGGATTTTTCAAAGAATAAAAAACTGATGTACAGTTTCTCTGGCATTTAACATCTCACTAAGAAGTCCACAGGCACTTTGTGATCTTTGGCTCTTGAAGATGCAGTTCCACGTTGAATGTGTAAACTTGCTAAATTGGATTTTCCCCATTAGAATCCTCCTCTCCTAAACTCATAAAGTGAGTTGCATGATTTTCCAACCCAACTGAGATGTCAGCATTCACTGGATATGAATTATAAAGTATTAATTAGCATTTGCATATACAGGAATAAGAAAAGCTTCTCATGTATGATAGAAGATTTACCATTCTGTGTACCATGAACATTAATGACTACTAGCCTCTAAATTGCCTTTCCAGGCATTTGCAACATTAAAATTGCATTGTCCAGTGCTGATGGGTGATGCTGAATATCCAGTTACTGCTGGGTATCTGCAAAGATCTATGATCAAAGAAAACATTTATGCTCTGCAGTTTGGTTTTTGTTTCCTGCAAGCCACTGATTTGAGGAGTGACTGTTCTTTTCAAAGCATATGCATTCATAATAATGTCTCTAATAGCTGGGAATTTCAGATGTCAGTAGAGAATTCCTAACTGTAGTAAACTCTAAATATTTTGAAAAAGTTTGAGCAATTTTACACAAATGAATACTGTAATTTCTGTGCATCTGAAAACTGAAATATAACATTAAGTTTTAACATAAATACTTATCTTTCCATCAATTGACATAAACCCTTTTTCACCTCTTTGTGTAGGTTACTATTTTTATTTCTTCAAGCCAAATATAATAGGGATGGTCACAGTTATTGCTCATCTCAGGGATGTGAAAGGATCAAGATTGTGACCAAAGATTCAGCAGAAGGGATCAGTAACTGCATGGCAAAAGCTTACCCAAAGTACTACCAAGGACCAACCATCATAAAGCAAATGCCAGGCAAAAGTACTGTACCATGTACAAGATGCGGCACGTCTCAGGTAAATAAAAATGAGCAAACCCTTTCACTTCAATATTATCACTATATAGCTGATGTTGCTGTCTACTCTCTTTCAGTTTTTCAGTATTCAGCACAGAATACTGCTCCTACCAGTTTGCGACGGTCACGTTGTTAATCTCCTTTATGCTGGAAGGCAGGGAGTCCCATGTAGCACAAAGGTTTTGGTTTTTGTTCTTTGAAAAATATTGCTTCACCTGTCACTCTGTGCTACAGAGAAGGGACGTAGGTAGATGTGATGTCTTGTACTACAATATTGTCTGTACTCCACATTCGATAGCTTTACTGAGGAGATCTATATGCTGTTGGCCAACTTTCTCTCTTCTGAGTTCTTAGCTTATTAGCATGAATTTAATATTTCATTTTCTGTTTTACCTATGCAGAAATTAAGGAATAAAATGGGTTACACTATACATCATGATATTTATTAGCATTGCTAATACCATAAATAAAGCCATTGACAAATGGATGCATTTGCTTTGAAGCACAGACAGTCTGTTGTAAATTGTCTGGCATGATAAAGTGTTGAGACACATGTTTTTGTCTACTTAATGTGTTTTGTTTGGCATCCAGATGGTATTCACCAGTGATCCTCACAAAAACTACCTCCTTGTGCAGATTAATTCATCTGGTAAAAAAGAGTTAAGCAGAGGTCACCAAGCATTTATTTCTGTAAGTATTCTTTATGGTTTTGTTTTAACTGTCTTTTTAGCACTTTGTATTACAGCAGTTGTACAGCTCTACATAATGCTGACCTTACTTTTCTTCACTTGAGTGAAAAGTGTTGGTTCATAGTTTGAAAACCAAACACTCAAGAAGCTGATGTTTTAACGTCAGAAACTGAGGCTTGAAAGCTTTATTGTGTATCTGAATATTTTCCTGCTGGAGAGAGAATTGTACCAGCAAGGAATAGTTTAAAATCTTCAGATTTATGTTGAAATCTGGACGGATACACATTTAATGATGGCTGCTTCTGGGGGAGAACAAACAAACAAACAAAACACCCAAAACAAAACAATGTGTTGGTTAAATCCATGTTGTTGAAATTGTGCTAACAGATTGGTGGGTTAATGGGATGAGTCATTCAAGCCGTTAAGCTTTGCTGAACTCCTTCAAAATGGCAGTTAACTAAAGAATCCATAGATATTTCTATATTTGTTCTGATTCAGTCCTCATAAGCTGAGTGATGTGATACTGTATAAGAAGTACTTCAACTTTTCTGTTCGGATGCTGAAGGAGACTTGCCCGTGATGCTGAAATAGCATTTGCAGCCATCCTCACACCACAAAGCCTAAAATCTGTATGTGGCTTATGTTCTGCAATATCAGTGCATTAGCTTGGTTGAAATAGTAAAACTCTTGAATTTATTTAGACAGACAAATGGCATGTGAGCTGTGTAACCTTAGCAGCTGTGAACTTTACAGAAATGTGTGTGCCATATCCAAAGCAGTAAGAGCATGAAACTGGACTGCTGCAGAAACAGATTAACTACTGTTGTCAAGAAGACTAGGTGGTTCAGGATCTACATTTTAGCTTCCCAAAGCAGGACTAATGACCAAGACAGGTAGTAAGTCACCTGAAATCTATAATCTCCCTGTAGAAGCCAGGGACTGAAGGCTTCCATGCAGTTTTAGAAGTTCCACTGAAAACCTCCACTCAGGTGTTAAAATTAAGAGATCCTAGGGAGAAGCAAGTATTTGTAAGGAAATTAGTACACCACTGTGTCAAACTAGGTGAAGGTTAACACTGAGTGCAGTGGAATTACTGTTGAATCAAATTTAGGAAAAAAAGTAGTAGTTATTTTCTCTTTTTCTCCTCCCATTCAGGTCAATGGCACTGTGTTTTCATTCAAGGAAAATGGTATGCTTATTGTTGTAGTTGATGTCTGCATTGGCACAGTGTTGGGAAACAAATTATTTTCTGGGGTAGACATTAATCATGTAGATGGATATCTAAAATACGGAATTCCACAAAGGTATGTGTAATGACCATTTATTTTTAGTGTTGTCCTGTCAACTGTAGCTCTGAACTCTAAGGAGGAATTAAATAATGATGTCTATACTGGGGCACTGAAAATGAGCAAAACTTGCATCTAAGTTGAAGGGAAAGGAGAAACGTAGGAGAATTTTAACAGACAATTTAGACTTACTTGAGAAAACAAACCAACTCAAATTCTGAGCACTTAGAATTTCCAATGTTGTCTTTCATCTCAAAAAATCTTTTTGACATATAATAACACCATATAATAACACTTCTTTGCTTAAAACAAGAATAACTGCTTGTTTAATAAACTTAGTTAAGGACACTGACAAGAACTATGTGACAAGATATCATACTGTTCTGCCCATTTAGGGAGAAAATTGCTTATCATCAAAGAGAGATAAAAAGTTAGTGTTAGAAAAAACAGTATTCTAAGATTCTAATTTTTGGATCAAGATCTAAGATTGGTGGTTTTTTTAATACAAAATATTAAACTATAATTAATTAACACTTTCCAATGCTTTTAAAGTTAAATTTAAAAGTCAGTTTAAAAAAAATCTGGATGGGTGTTTTTCTAGGTACTGCTTTCAGAGATAGTCGACTATTTGATATGATAAGACTCTTAAGCAATGAGGTCAGCTAGCTGTAAAAGCATGTTGCAGAATATTAAGAAACCCTTGTGTTTATAACAGCTGCTGTCTCTGCACTGCTTCTGCTGCAGGTCTATTGTTCTACTGAGCACAAGAGGTGATGTAATAATCCCTAATAATTTATCACAAGCCTTAATGTCCCTGGGGACAGCCAAACCACCTTACCTTCAGAGCAACGGTTCGTGGAAATTTTGCATGTTTCTTTTACACTGCAGCTGGCAGAGGATGGGGCAGGTGGGGCAGGCAACCCTTTGGCGGGTGGGGCAGGCAACCCTTCTTGCCCCAAAGGGCCTTGTGTGAAGCTTGTTGAAAGCAGAGAAGTGACTTGCAGTTCTTTGTGCCAGGGTATTACAGATAGAGTGTCTCAGGCCTTTTTCCCAAAGCCTCTGTTTTGTGCCTCACTCAATCTATTTTTAAACAGTCTTCTGCGTCAGGCCAGTATTACCTGTCCTAATGAAAGCTGAAGGTAGAGATGAGAAGCTGTTGATGTTTTGAGGGATGATCACTTTTTATAGGCCATGTGGGGTAGCTTTCATCTGTCCAAGGCCCTGGCACAAGTACCCTCTGCGAAAACAGGTTTTATAATTGTTCCAATAGCTGTGTTTTCGGATTAGGATTTCAGAGTATTCAATACTGAACATTGGAAAATGGAAGTTGCAAATTAATATTTCCTTGTGATGTGCACATGAAGCTGAGAGTGGATTAATGTCCTGGATAATCTGGGGGGAGAATTTCAGAGCAGTGTGCTATTCCCTTCCTAACTGGTCTTGTGTTGTGCTTGGATGGGCTTGGCTGGTTTGGTAACACTGAGCTCTTCTTGTCACAGGAAGCCTGGCCTTTCTAGGCTTCAGAGGAAGCTTTAAGCCATCTTGGATCAAGCTATTTACCAGTCCTGCTGGGCACGGGCTCATTCAGGTAGAAAAGTATATTCCATTACAACTGGAAGAGTATGGCTGTGCCAGAGCAATCAAAAACCGACGGAAAGACCTTGAGCTTCTGAAGAAGGCTACACAATCTCATTAAAGACTAAGATGTACATAAAAGATGGGGAAAAAAATGTGAACTAACTTATTTTTTAATTTATGGCATTTTAAACTGTATTGTTATCCAAGTAAATCATGTTACTGTCTGACAGATGTTTGCCAGCATTGACTGCTTGAATGCCAATCTGTGCACCTTCTAGTTGTACAAAATATTAAAGAATTTATTAGTATTTGTATAAACAGGTTTCAGAGTTTTTTCAGATGTTTGTATTTACTGTAAACAAGTTCCTTTGATTTAATACACCTTTTGTATGTAAGAGGGTGTTCATAAAAGCCTTAAATTTTTGATAACAGGTGTTGGAGTGCACCTTGGTTTACTTGAAAGATTAACATTAATGTATCCATAAACAGCTTGAACTGGTCATTATAACTTACATATTTTCCCTGAGCTGTTCAGTGTTTTCCCAGGGATTTATTTAGCAGTCAGCTCAGTTACATTCTCAGTCTGCTTTCCGAGGTGATATAAACCAATTTCCCTCATGCATGCAGCTGACTCAAGGGTTTTAACTGCAGTAAAATTTTTGCTTTGGTGTATGAAAGTTGTAGTGGGGAACGTCAAAGATCCAGCCTGGGGCTGTGTCAGGATTGTGCATGGTGCAAGAGTTTAACAAGACTATGTGTACCAGCATGGCATACAGAGTAGAAAATTACTACAGTTCTTTGAGGTCACTGCTTACTCTTCACCCCTAAATATACATACAGGTGTCTGTAAGAGTTACTCCTGTAAACAGTCTGGGTGTTAAGGCTGCAGTCGTGTGTACAGCTTGACTTCAGCTTTTTCTAGAAGGGCTTTTAGCTAAAAGGGCAAAGCTGAGATACTGTTATTCTCAATTTGTAATGAAACTTTTGCAGTGTTCGTTGGGTGTGGGTTGTTTTTTTTAATTAGACTATTCAAACTCTAACTAAAGTGAATATAAAGTGCTCTCAGTTCATGTTATATCTTTTGCCTTAAGTTTGATTCAGTATACTCATGTTGCTAATTCCTATTGATGTTCTATTAGGTCTGTTTGATTTATTCTGGTTTTGTTACAGTTATTTGACCCTTCCTGCAGATAGTGTGAAAATCATTTGGAGTAACTGAGGCACAGCTGCCCTTTTTCAGAATCCTAGTCTTTGAAATTAGATTTCAGAGACTATAAAGATGGATTTCATAATAGGGAACAAAAGGTGCCATGGAGCTAAAATGTAACCATAGTTCTAATAAAACTGACATAGTTACTCCTTCTTCTGTATGTTCTTATTCATTCTAGCTGGTATAATGTATCTACCATTGAGAGATGCTTTGTGCTTTGAATTCAAAATTGAGTGGCTGTTGGAAATTAACTATGTCTGTCTTCTCCAAAGAAGTTGAAAAACTGTGGGGATTTTTTTGTGTGTGTGTGCTTTAAAGGAGAGAAGGCACAGTAGCAGATCTATTTATCTGTTCAATTAAAATATGCTACCTCAGTGCTACAATTAAACTGCCTGGTCTTGCATAGCTTCCCAACGGAGAGGGAAGGGGAAAGGAGCAGAACGTTAGAGATGAAGTTAACAAATGGATGACTGATGTTGTTTTTATTGTAAAACCAAGACAAATGGATAATTTGTGTATTTTGCAATTGTTTTGATGCACAGTTCTCTTATGTTAAAAAAAAGGCATTTTCTAGGGTGAGATGTGATAAATCTTTAAGACTAGCTATAATGTTTGGTGTTACTATTGCAGGGCAATGTGATTTAAAAGCTCTGAGTGCAGTAGTGGTAGTGTTTGGGGATTAAAATGGTTTTAAGACTTCTGCTGTTCTGTGGCTCATGCTCAGCAGAGAAATACTGATGAGGCAGTGAACTTCAGGCTTGAGAAGCTGGCCATTATTTATGAGATTCTGCTGTTCTAAGCCATCTTGTACTTGGAAGTGTCAAGGGTATTTTGATGTAGGGCTTACTGATGGACAATTGGACCTGCAGTTGAAATGCTGTCTTTTGTGTAAATTTGAACACTTGATAAATAGCTTAAATAAATTTTTACATCTGACAAGTTGTGCTGTTTTTTAAAGCTTGGGTATCCACTGTTCTTGTATCAAGTAATTTTGTAATGTGTGTTGTGTGAATACTGTTAACTATTTTATTTCAAACACCAGTAGACCAGAAGTTTATGCAGTGTATCATACTCTGCATTCAGAGGCAAGTTGGGAGTACAGGTAAAGGAGACGCTAATGGTGGCTGAAGTTATAGACATGTTTCCATGAAGTCTGTCATCTTGAAGTCTGTCAGAGCTGCTGAATGAAGAGTCATTTCAGCTTGGTGGGAGCCAGAACAGTATTGTTATCTACTCGTGGGCGTCTTGTCCATGTCTGTAACTACCTGGTGGGGAAGTAAAGAAGATGTATGTGGGCTATTCTGGATGGTGCCCACTGGTAGAGGACAAGAGGCAGTGGGCATGCATTTAAATGCAGGCAATTCCACATAAACTGAAGGCAAATATTTACTGAGTGGCTGATTAAGCACTGGAATTGATTGCCAGAGGTGCTGTGGTAGCTTTTTCTGTGGAGGACCAGCTGTGGCTGACCCTGCTTTAAGACCTGTAGTGTCCTGGACCATCTCCAGAGGTGGCTGCAAGCCCAGGCGCTGCTGTGGTTGTGTGCAGCTAATATTATCAAGGTACCTAACCTCACTTTTCCAAGTGCACCAGCTGCCACAGCCTGCAAGGCCTGAGGCACATGTTTTTCACCTCATGCCAGAAACTCAGATCTTAAAGATGAGGCTTTGCATACAGATAGATTGATTTCCATTCCTTACTCAAATGGTGTCATTCTGCGTAAAGAATTTTAAAAATCACCAGGCTAGGGACAGCAAGGCAAGTTTAAAGCTTTAATATAATGCATTAGAGCTTTTTAAGGCACATCTGGGCTCATGTTGGTTTTGCATTTTATTTTTTAATTGTTATATTTAAAAAAAAAATATAAACTACTTGGAGCAGAGATCAGATTAAGTGTACTATCAATGAAGCACTCCCTAGGGTGAAAGGCACCATTGAATGAGGGGCTGTATGAAGGGCTGGAGACCTATCCCTAAAGAGCTGGGCTGATGACAAGGACATGCTTTAGGTAAAGATATGCTTATTCTGTGATTTGTGGGACTGCAGTGACAGCTGATGATCCAGATAACTTCTGACACAGGACATTAATCTGTTTTCCTGTTTGGGGTAAGTCCTGTGATCTCCTGTGCTTCCCCTCAACCCCTTTCCACCTTATGCAGGAAGGATGCACATCTGAGGACAGTCATGCAGCTACAACTGAAAAGCCCAGTCCACTGGGTTTGATGATAGCTGTATCGTGTCAGGCAGTGGTCAGTGAAAGTCAAAAGGGTGTGTCACGGCTATATTTGTTTAAGGTGATCCCGGTGTCACTCTTGTGCCCAAGCTTTTATGAAGCGTAAAGAATAGCAGTAACTTCTGAATTTCAAAATTGCATTTATGTGAGCTTTTCCCAGTAATTCCTTTTCCAACCTCTTCTGATCATACTTGTTCTAACACTTGTGGGAAGATTCTGTCCTTTAGCCTGGAGTTCACAAGCAGATTTTTCTTTTTGCCTTCTTTTTTTCCTGTGTCTTGTGCTCGTTAGAATTTAAAAATAATACTCAGTATTGAAGTATACAAGACCACCTTTGCCTTGAAAATTTATGAGCTTTTTAATTATTTGGCCTGGGAGTACTGCGGTTTTGCATATTAAATTGTATTAAAAATAGTAACCTGCTAAGTGGCTTGTCTGTCCATTGACTTGTGTGACTGGGAATAATTAGAATGGCAAATCCTAGAAGTCCACCTGTCCTTATGATAAAACTCTGAAAAACAAAAAGGTTTTGGATACAATAGGAACAGTTTTGGGAGAGAGCAACCTGGGGATCTCATGGGATCAGCCTAGCCTTTTCTCATACATCATCTTGTGCCTGCTCTTGTGTGCTTCCCTTAACCTGTGCTGAAAAAATTCTGAGACTTGTGCTTTTCTGGAAAGGTTTGTGGTTGTGTTTGATGTACTAAGTAGAAATTGGTTTGGTCGGATCACAGAGTCATTTCAAAGTGATCAGTTTGTATCAACTTCGTCCTTGAAGGCCAACTTTTTAGCTTTTCTGATTTCTATTGTATTTGAAAGTACAAAACAGACTTAATTGCCATGCCTGGGAGGCAAATTCTTTGTTTCATCTTTGTCCAAGTTGAATGGCGTGACAGCTGAATATCCTGATTTGTAATTTTTTTCTGGAGAAGTGTTCTCAGAACATGCAATGGCCTGTCTTCTTATATAAAACTTATTCTAAGCAGAACATAAAAACAAGGTGATACTTCAGGATTACTTTTGTGTGTGTGCAAGTTTACCAGTAATAATGCTATACTCAAAGTGCTGTAAACAGATAGCAACACAACTCTCTCTTATGGAGCATTTTCAGTGACATTTTCAACACATACACTAGAATCAGTTCAGGGTGTGTTTTGTGTAATTTTAAGGATGGATTTCAGATGATAATGTGTCATCTTTTTAATATCTGTGAAGTTCTTCAGCAGAAGATGGTTTACTCCATCTGCAGGGTGTGAACTATGATCTAATAGTTTTCTTCCATCTCTGGTGCTAATGACTGCTGCAATTCCTCAGTAATAGCAGACAACATCACAGTACTCTGTGGTCTCATTACTATTTCTGAGAAACGATTCTATGGTGAGTATCACTAGTATCTATTTAATATTTTTTAATAGTTTATTCTGTATTGCAGGATGTTCTGGGATAAATTTTTCTTTTTAATATTCCTTTATTATATCAGATTTTTATGTCCTTCATAACAGTGGAATGCAAAGTATTAGAAGATGCAAGTATGTATACTCATATGAATCATAGCAGCATGCACAATTGCCATTGGGTTCCTTCTGCTAGATAGCAGACAAATGTAAAATAAGAGTTTATGTCAGGCTTTAATAGTTGGACGTGTAAGAAAACAAATTAATGTTCAATAAAAATT